GATATGGTGGTTGTGATCGGAAGAACTGGTTGTAATGTTAAACATTTGTTAGGTAAAATTTTGATTTGTTTTGGAACCCGGTCGCATGCTGATGGATTGGGGTTGGGTGGTATTTATTCCTGCACTGCAATTAGAGTTAAATTATGTCTATTTGAATTTAAGGACATCATCTTTTACTGCATTCCTGAATGAAGATATCTGGAGATTTTTCGTCTAGCATGCATCTCAAGGATACATCCATTCTTAACAAGGAAATTACATTGTATTCATTCTGTTCTGTCCGTTAGGTTTATACAATTTAAAATTGAAACGTTCTTTAATGTATTTTAACGTAAATTGCGTAGAATTAGTGTTTAAAATTATTGCCCATCAAAATATAGGCTGAAGTAGGTTTTAAGTACGTTAACATCCTCGCTATGCGTAAGTTGTGTTTGTAATACCTATACAAGACTCCCTATTGTATATGGTTTATGTTATAATTACATTTAAGGTCTTTATTTCTAAATGTATAGAAAAGAATATTTATTTTTATTGTAGATTTTGACTGATGAATTGACTATTTTCTTTAAAGTTCAATATTTCTTTTTCATTTATATATTATATTTATACTTATATATACATTACAATTAAATATCTAAAAATAACGATTATCAAACTAACTCTTTAGAATTAATACTTGCATAAAAATAACATTGAAAATAGAGTTAGATAATAAAGATTATAAATAGGAAAATTATTCTTTACATGTATTATTCAAAACTATTGTATTAAAAAATATAAATAAATGATTATGAGAAATATTAACTGAATGGAAGTATATGTTTTGGGTGAATAAATTATTGGATGTATGAATTTATTTTCATTATTTAATCCTTAGAAAAAGGTTTTTAAGAATATAGTTATATTTCATCTTAATAATAGCTATATGATTAAAATTTTCTATTAGGCATCTAGTTACAATTTAAAAAAAAAACTATTTTATTCTGAATATGAAATGATTTTGATTTTCTTATTTACGCATTTATATTGCTCTTTTTTAATCCATATGAATCGAAATTAATATTAAGTTACCAGAAAACTTATATTGCTCCCTTAATATTCTTTCATGTAGTTTAAAATTACTCATTTAATGGTTAAGTGTTATTATTTAAAATAATCTTAAAATTATTGTCGTTTAAGAATTTAAGGATTAGGAATTTGATTGCAATGTATTTATAAAATAGAGAAAAAGTTGTGTAATATAATAAGGATATTTTGTTAATTTATATAAAAAACTTTAAATAATAAAACAAATATATAAATGAATTGTAAATAATCAAATTTCTCGACTTAGTGATTATAAGGTCTATTCTAAGATATGAGGTTGACGTAATGTTCTAAGTTCAATTCCTATTTGTCTTAAAGAATAAAGACTTAAGATGAATTAATTTTTGGCGGTCTCTTTATTTCTATTAATCCACAATTTTGATCATTTTATTTCAAAATAGTCATTTAATCCCTCTATTTTGAAAATATAAAATTTTGGTCTTTTTTTAAATTGATCTCTACCAATCATTAAGTTTTAATATTTATTTATTCTTAAAGATATGATATTTAATAATATGACATTTAAAAATAAAAAAATTAAAAAAACATTCAAATAATTTTTTATTAATAAAATAAATTCTAATCACTTATAAAAATTTTTGTATGTTATTTTTTAATTTTTATCCTTATATATTACATAACTATATATTGCATTACTTAATTAGGGACAACTCATTGGATAATATCAAAATTTAATGATAAACAAACATTAAATTGATGTTATAATCAAAATTTTGTATTTTAAAAAATAAAAGAACTAAATATCACTAATTTAAAAGGGAAGGATCATAGGAAGAACAAAATTGTAATTTAATCTTATTTTTTGTTTTTGTTTATGTGGCGTTCAATGAAGTGTTAACATATCGGAAGTGCATCTAAAATAATTCAACATGCTCATTCCTTCAATGTGCGTGGACCATTTCCTTCTTGAATCCAAAATTTGATTTTGGAGACCATTTCTTTTTAAAGGTTTTTTCCCCCCTAATATTTCTCCTAAATAAACTTCAGTGTTGCGACTTGTGACTCCTCTATTTTTTAAAATGTCTTTTGTAGTCCTATGGTAATCCTGTTGCAACACATTGAGTTTAAGAAAAACTAATTTTGCACATGTATGTATAATGTTTTGACAACACATTTTTATTGTCGTCAAACGTAAGAAGGAGACTGAAGTGGTGTATAATGTTTGAGTTGCTTCTTATTATTCAATACCTCTTGTAGTCCTATCGTGAAATCAGAAACACTAATAACCATGAAAATGAAAATGTTAGGTATATACTCTCAACACTTATTTTGGATACACTCTTTTTATTGATCGATATTTATTTAAAAATATAAAATTTAGTGAGTTCTACACCTTATTTAATGACTTTCCATTCTAATTTTATAATTTTCAATAAATTGTAACTAATTAATAAGGAATATGATACTAACACTCCAAGGAAAAAAGTAAGAGAGATCTTGATAAATTATGTAAAGATTTGAGTCTCATAAAAACTAAAAGCAACTGCTATATATAAATATATTAATTAACTTAAATTCAATAATTAGTAACACACCAATCTATAATCTCCCTAGCATATCAAGTTTCGAAATATAAAAGCTAAAATTACAAATTCAAATTTCAGAGTACATATCACTTGAAGCAATACTTAACGAGGCCAGGAATATGGGTATTCATGAAGTAGTCCTCCCAATCAATAATTTTGGGGTCAAAGTAAAACAAGCATTCCCTCTCTACCTCACCTTCTCTTGCCGCTATTTGTAATATTTCTGTGTTCGTGCTGTCAAATCTGTGTAAAACAAGCTTGTATTAATTAGTAAGTTAATTAGTACACAAATCTTGCTTTTGTTGCAAATGCTAATTAATTAACTTACACGCCATTGAAGAACACGTAGGGTCTGTAAAGGTCAATCAACCGCATCGCTATATGGATTTTCCTTCTCATGTCAAGATATGTCCCCTCAAAATATTGGCCAAAGGCTGCATTCGCTATCTCTAGTCCCTGTAAAATAAGCTATCTAAGTTAGTATTTTCTCCATATTAAAAATTGAAGAATATGTTTAGATAAATCTCATTGTAAACACTTAAAGAAGAAAAATTATTGAAAGAATAAATGAAACAAAACTTTTTCAACAAATTAATTTACTCAACACTTATATATTATTTGTTGGTCTTATCTTTAGTTAATCTGAGACTTAAATTAAATTTAATATCTAAATAAATGGTGAATAACCATTTCTTAGAATGTAAGTTTAAATTTAATTCAACCTTAAAAAATTGATTTATAAAGTGAGAGTTATTTCCTTACTTATGTAGTCTTCGTTAACTTTATCTTTAATTAATGTGAAATTTGAATTTTTTTTTCTTTCAATATTTGTAGAGGTTCTTTAACATTAACTTCTTTAATTAAAACTTATTTTTAGCTTTATCATAAACTAATTTAAACTTAAAAAAATTTATTTATTTTGCTTTTTTTTTTCTTTTCTTTTTTTCTTTTAGGAGTGTTCATAGAAAAGTAAGTTAAGTGTGTATACTATATTGCATGAATAGAGGGATTTGAAGCAGAAATTGAGGATTAAATATAAAGAACCTTTAATGGAAGCAAGTAACGAATGAACATGTATCTCTGGAAGCTAGTTATGTTGTCCAGTACTGTAACTTTGCCAACCTTGACAGGCATTCCTTCCTTGTTTACCCATGGTTTTGCGGTGAAGTATCTAAGGCCATAGTCTTTGAGATTGTGGTATCTAACTGGATTTGCAACAGAAGAACCCACATGATATATGATATTATCACAAGGATGATTTGCATGAGCCACCATGGACGTTATTATTGCATTCACCACCATGTCTGCTGGTATCTGCTCCAAACTCAGCTTATATTAGTATATCCATTTTGATGAGTCAATAATGTTGTAGTGGAGTGTGTACTTTATAAACAAAAATTCAGGGTTAGAAAATAAGCAAGTTAATGACTTATAGCATATATATTGTTCTTCATTTAATGACTTACCACATCAAAGATTGCCTTTATGTCTGCAACGAAGCATGTTAATTTTCCTTTGCCATAAGCAACAATTATACTATCTATGGTTCTGCAAAAGTCCCAAGCCAAGATAAGAAAAATATGAGTGATGTGTGTTTAATTAATAAAGGGACATAAAATAACTGATAAATAAAAGTGTCTGCTTAAGTAGCTAGTATATATAACTAAAGGTTTGTAAAAATAAGAAAAAATTTAAAATAAATTTTTCTATAAATTTAAACTAACTTATACATAAGTTAAAAATAAGATTTTAAAAAATGATAAGATATGACTTATACAAAATAGCTTAAGTATATAAACTATTTAAGTATATGCGAAATTTTATTTTATTTTTCTTTTTTATTTCACTCACCTAATTAAAACAAGTTAAGTCAAACAAATAATAGAATTGCAATGCATGCACACGAACAATGTGAATGATGTATATAGTGAGTGATTTACCTGACTCCTTCGACCCACCCAGGAAATGGTTCTCTGTAAGTACTGGTAATCATTGTAGGACGTACGATAACAACAGACATGTTTCCCTTTAGAGTGTCTACAACCATTTCTCCCATTGCCTTTGTAAACACATATGTGTTTGGCCATCCATATGCATTTGCTCTAAATTTACCAAGATACAACCAAACACAATTAGTTTTGGTGTTCGTTAATTAGTATACAATCCAAATGCTAAACCTAAAAAAGAGATTAACAAATTAAAACTAAATAGTTTTAAAATGGTGAAATTGTATACTTAAAAGAAGTGACATCAAATTGGAAGCACCTGTCAGAATAAACTTGTCTAAAACTAGTTTCAAGAGAAAATAATAAAAAGAAATATAAATGAACTTTTGAAGTTTAACATTAAATAAAATTTGAGATTTCTTTTGTGTTTTTGAATACATTTCAATCAATTAAAAAAAAATCCCATCATATTTTTAACGTAAATATGAATTAATTTATAAAAGATCTCTCATATTAGTTTATCATATATATATATAAATTTATCTCTAAGTTAGTCTTAACTAATTGAAAAATTTATTGTATAAAAAAAATTATCCAAAGAATAATAAATGGTATAACCTTTTGATACCCAATTCCT